CGGACATCGCGACAGCTGGGTAGAATATCCAAAACTTCTGCTGATGTATACAACCCATGGCAAAGTTGGGTCTTGATCTTAGAGTGACTTCTGAGCAGTGACATGGAGAAAGTCTTGACACAAAAATTGGTCTTGACCCAGGGGTCAGCGGCATTTGTGAGCACGAGTGGGCTGATATGGAATATTCTGTTCTCATAGCCCTTGATGTAGAGCTGATATTCAAAATAGTGTTCAATTAAAGACTTCTGGTGTGTTGATGACTGCTGACGTCGAAGACTGGAGTTTGTAGGAGACGGTGCCATGTCACATGAGCCCCATCACGCCGACTGCCAATCCAAATCGGCAATCCATCCATCCACTAGGTCACGACTGATGTCGTCGCAGATTTCACAGACTCCTTCAGATCGACCCGCTCAAGCTGACGGGAAGCGGCGGTCAAATACGTCAGGCCGCTGTTCAGGTGCACGCGTAGCATCGGCTTGCCAGTCGCTGTGCAGATCCTGTTGTCAGGGCCTTTAGACCGGTATGCCTCAACTTTCTGAGCGTCCCATCTCATGTCCTTGACCAAGTCGAGAGTTCGCTCTGCTCATGGCCCCAGGCCAATGACATAGAGTTCGCTGAAATTGTACTCCAATGACACAACGGCACGGTCGTACTCAGATTCATGCTGTAAACTACTTACAAGTCTCCATTCAATCGAGTAGACCTTGACAGACAGGGCTGCTGGGGTTTGGGGTCAATCCAACAACCAACTTCCTCGACATGTGTGCACGGCAAAGCCAGAATCTCGCCACATCCTTTTGGTAATTCTGGCATTTGGGTACCTGCGGGTGGAAAGATTGTGTTTTGCATCACTGGCCTGCGCGGTACTTTATCCTCAGGGTCACTGAGGTAGATACATTGTCAAATGAGTAGGGGTTGTTCATTTATGGTTGGCAAGCAAAACCACGCTAGCGGGGTAGGTTGTTGCCTCAGTTGCTGGCATATGCAGGAGGCCGTCGAACCTTCCATCTCTCAGCCTGTAAGCACTGACGCGGTAATATCTATACACCCTATTGCATGCAAGGCGCCTGCAGCGTGGACCAACAGCCGACGAGAGATGAAAACAAGGCGGATAGGACAAGCGGTAAGGTCAAGACAAATGCAGCGAGGGGTTGTCGAATCAATACCGATCACTTAACCCTCTTGATCATAATGACGAGCATCAGTTGTTCCGATTGGTGGAAGCCTGTTGATACCATACGGCACAGGAAACATATGAAGGCTATGCTTAAAAGCAAAGGAAAAATTCCAATAACAAATGCAAAACCTGCTTCCACAGCTTATATGAGGGATAGCCATCATCCACGCTACACAACGACATCAATTATCAAACGCATTGAACCTTCTCTCTCTTGGTAATCACGAGTATTCCACTAGTTTAATCGACGGATAGTCATGAACCTAGAAATCACTGGAAACTTACAGAAACGGTTTGTGCAAGACGCCGTTTTGCTTCACAAGCTAGACCCAGTAAGGGGTAGTCCAACGGCATACGGTCTGGATCGACACCCTCATGACGCGGGTGTTCCCCGAGAAGAGTTGCTAAAGCGAAAGTTTCTCGATTCTTTCGCTCTACTAGCTTCAACCCACAAAGATGGCGACACAGTATCGGCGGCCGCCTTAGAGGTAGGAGCGCCTGAGGGCTCGGTCATTCGCATCGCTAGTAATGCTGGGGTGTCCGCATCGACACTGGTCCTTCTTCGGGAAGTGATGGAAATTCTTCATGATGTATCTGCTATGGGTAAATAGTGACTCTTGATTTGTGTTATAAGACTCATACTAACATTGATGCGAGGTCTCACGAACGAGCGGAGACTGAGTGTCCTATTGAAGATGATCAGTCTCGACAAGGCCAAAATCTGGTATTATCTTGCGGACCTCCGGAAACATAGATCAGAAATTTTGAGGCTTGAGCAGTTCTTGCCGAAGCTTTCATCCACCTTTGAGGTCAACGAAGTCGAAAGGTTCACTGCATGGATGGGAAGATTTAGTGCGATCACAACCATTGCAACCGGAGCGCCTCCATCAGAGCTCTTGCCTTACATTTTATGGGCAGAAAAAGCCAAATGGGAACTTTCCACCTGTATCGAGGCTCTGTTCTCTGTCCAGAGCATACCAGTGCCCTCTTGGATATACAGTATCTACAAGCTAGGGAGATACGGGGTCGCATCAATAGCGTTGTGTAAGCTTCCAGCAGAGTTCCCCGCCCTCTTTTGCCCGATGCGTATAGAACCTATCGAGCCCATCTCAAGGCTTGAATTTTCTATTGCAAAAGGCGAACGGCCTTTGAGAGATGTTCTACGGAGAATCGCTGGAGACCAAGAAGAGGAATTCGCGAGGAGATTGGCTACGATCTGGTGCGTCACAGATCCAGAGCCGCGCTTTCAGAAGGCCTGTCGTCTTGACCTCGCTGTTCATGCTGAGATGCAACTTATCGGTTTTTACGACCGGAATCCTGAGCTTATGCCCTCGTTTCGGTTCATGGGTGTCAGTAAGAAGAGTTGCTTCTTGTGTCATAGATTCCTCCAAGACCATCCGATATCCTTCTCTGTATCTTCCTGCCACCAGAAGCTGTACTTGGCATGGAGATCCCCACCGACATCTGACGCAAAAGCGTACAGGACATACAAAAAGATTGTCACCAATTTGTGTGTTCAAATGGAAGCAACAGCCAAACGAGAACTTCAGAGACGGATTGGCAGTGCCAGAGCTTTCCAGCTAGATTCTACCGCCGGAGTATCCTTGACAGGTCTCGTTGATTACAGGCCTCTCAGCCCTGCAGAGTCTGTGGACACATCCGATGCGCCTTTTCCGCCTGATCCATTACCAGAGCCTCCATTAGAGCCATCTGAGGACGATTGCAGTGATGATCATACAGGAGTCTCCCTTGAGATAGACAAAGAGACACCTCCCACAGAAAGTGAGGAAAAACGCCCCGGGGAGACAATCATATCACCTTCACGAGCTTCTCGCGGTGAACACTCCACTGCAGAGTTCGTGTTCAATATCATACGTACTGGCAACCCTCAGAGGCGAGAACTTGTGGTCTTGGAAGACATCCTGGATACGTCACAGAAGCCTTCCTGGCGAAAGCTGATTGAGATCTTGAGCAACGATGAGCACTTCGGAGTGGGGTTTGTCGAAAGAGAGGAATTTTTGATGGTCAATGATAACCTATGGGTTAGAGATGAGCGCCAGTTCCTTGCGTGTTTGCAATACTTGCGCAACTCGGGTTGTCGCAACGTGGGTGTCCTGGTTCGTACGTTTGACTCGGTGAAACCGAGGAGTCCTTAGTCTACCTTCAGTATTCCATCTACAATACTTCGGTGTTGTCATTGGGGATTGCAATGATGGTATTCGCCCAGGGCTTGTTACTTTAGGAAGGTTGATATGAATTTCGGAATCGCATGATTATTTGTTCTGGCATGATCTGTCCTGGCTTCTAGCATTAAGCCAATTAACTAAACGCAGGTGCACATATATAACTTGCCTCAGGTCAAAAGTTGTTCACATAGATAAGGTAAATCAATCTCCTTACTTTGAGCTACAATTGCTGAAGGATCAGAGCCTTTGCGCATTCATAAATCCTGAACCCCAATGCCCTGATAGCTTGTTCAATCAGGAGCATCTTTGTGCAACCATACTTTACATGTCCACTATGATTTATTCAAGAAGCTGGAATTGCTATGTTACTGGGCATGCCAAATTCTATCCATGCATCATTGAGAGAAAGTGATCATCCAGAGTGGTGGAATTATCTATCAGTACTTCAATGGGAACGCTTCAGAAGGATACTGAAAGCGGAAGAAATCCTAGGAAGGAACTAGTCATGTATTGTCATTTACCAGAAATCTGATGAATAGTGATAAGAAACTACAAAAAGCAATTGACCTCCCCAAGGTGGGCTCGAACCACCAACCTCCAGATATCTATCTCTTTTGCTCATAGTGAGCAACCTCGATCGTAACAGTCTGACGCGCTAGCCAATTGTGCCATCGGGGATTACGTAATTCATCGTGCGTTGCCAATTTGAACGGGTATTGTGTTATGGATCATGAGTGTGGAGATGGTGGGCATTGCGGCAAGGAGGAGGAACCAGGCAAGTCCAAGGCAAGCTGCTCTCTGTTAGGGTACTGATGTGTTATAACGTGCCTCCCTGCTTCTCAACGATACAAGAAGGTCATTCCGTCTCTAGGCTGTTGTAACTGAGCCTAAGAGAAAGTTCTTAAGTTCTCAGAGGTGACAAAATCTGAGTATCAACCGGAAAATTAAGACACGTCTCTTATCAGTAGGCAATGTACAAAGTTTTGGATGTATCTCGGAGACATAACTTCTGGAACTCGAACAAGATTTGACTGGATGGATCATACTATGATGCCTCAAATCAATGGCTAAATCAGATCGTAAAAGAAAACAAATGTTGCCAAGATGTGTTTTGAGGGCAAAGGCTGATTTCGATTTCTGTATGGATATACAATAAACACGGCCCGTTATGCATCATAGTGTACATATGAGCCCCAAATATCGGCATTGTCGGCATACCGGGTACGAATCTCAAGTACGGCGCGCTCCTCAGTGCCTCGGCAACAAGCCTATCAGGCGACTCAGGCTCAGTTCTGGGTCTACTCAAGAACACCTAGAACAGCCTCGCAACGTCAACAAAAATCTCATCACTGACTGGCCACAATGAACCAATCACATGACCGAACCCAGCAACTTGGAAGGCACTCGTGGCATGCAGACCCTCGTCCTTCAAACTAAACGCCTTTACTTCAGCTGTTGAACATGCGGATAGGTAGGCACTCTGAGCCCTTATCTTGACCTTAGCAGCTAGGAGTAAGTAGACTGTGAGCCTGTCCAAGGTTTTATCGGACTTTTGCAGAAGCAAATGAGTTTGCAATGGGCCCAGTCAACAACTTTCGACGTTCTTTTAGCTCGCTGACGACCTGGATGCAGTCATTTTCCAGCCCTGCCTGCCGAAAGGTCTCGGCCCCTTGGGCCGAGGGCGAGGACGCATCTATCGCTGTATTTCCCTTGTGGACGAGGAAAGAAGGGTTTGGCGTGATATCCATCTTCAAAGGGCCCAAGAGGGAGATTTTGTTTTAAAAATGACCTCATCCCGTGAGGCGCTACTGCTTTCTTCAGGAATAAACCGGATTTGAGGATACTAGAGTATGAGGGAAAGGAGGCATTCGGCCAAGTATCAGCCCAGAAGCCTCGGAACTTGAATGTTACTTGGAAAAGGAATCTACTCTCTTCTGTCATACATAGTAGTGCAAGTCTCTTCGGGTGTGTGAGAGCTGTTATTAACTGAACGCGCCTTCTTGCAAGATTGGTCTGAAGTTGTCTGACGAAAAAACATTTGCAACCCCAACATAACTGGAGCATGAAATCGGCGGCACCAGATATATCTGCATGTTTCGTAAGAGACGAGAAGCCGGACGCCCGCTATGCTTAGCTCAGCTAATGACCCTGCGCTGGCCAGCCGGGCCGGGACCCACTCGTCGGGATAGAGATCCACTTATCTCCGGATTGTCGGATTCGGGTTTCGACGGTGCGCTGGTGATGGGCACCGCAACATAAACTCGCGCTCAAACCCAGGACGAAATGTCTTTTGCAGCTAGAAAATATCAGGGGATCTTTGATAACAGATCACTCATGTGATGTAGGTATACCGACAATTCAGGAACCACAGTATTTGTGAGCTTGCGGAGCTGTGACGTCCGCACGATAAGGGGGGACACTGACCCGAGAAAGCTACGTCAACCTAACTTGATTCAGGAAAGCTCCTAGAGGCATAGTGTGAGTCTCAGGCATCAGATGCATCACTATGGCAGCACGCATTCCTATGACCGCTACGTCACCCGTAGCACCCGCTGAGACTGGAATAATGGCATTTGTATCTTCAATCAACGCTTGGTATCTCGACTCTTTATGCGACTAAACTATAGCCAGCAAACCAGTACCTGGGTGGCAGCCAACGTATTCAAACAGTTGCTGCTCAGGTTTCAGTACCAGAACCTCGTGGAACAGACGGAGCGACACGTTGTTCTCCAGCTTCTTTGCATACTGCAGGAACCCTCCAAAGATTTCCAAATGTGTCGAGTGTTGCTTAGCCCATCCCTCGAGAGAGCCCAGCTCATCGAAGAAGGCCAGTCCAAAGGTGCGATCCTTATCGGCCTTGCCCGTCACGGGGTCAATTAGATCCATGAACCGGCAGCTGTGACATCCTACTTCCTCTCCTTGGTCGCGCAGGAAGTTCATGCCCTTGATTAGGACAGGATGCATAGTATTGAGATAGAGCTCACGCTCCTCGGGCAGAGTGTCGGACCAGTCTTGGCCGGAGCGAATGATGGCCAAATTGCGCTTACCACCGACCTTGACTCTGCGAGATGACGATGTTGTGTGTCCGTTAGTACCGTTCGTCCCGTTGGTGTGGTTAGTCGTCGCTGGTCGTTCAACTTTCTCTCCAGCCAGCTCATCGTCCTGAGCAGCAGCCATGCGGTCACGCATGCTACCCCAGTAAACATGCTCCTGGATCGGGCCCCTAACACATTCTCTCATGTGTGCTGCACCCTCAGGCACTTCATTATTGGAAAACACCGTCTCGAACCGGTCGATTGTTGGGAAGAAGATTTCGAGGAACCATCCGTTGCTGTGTGACCCAGCCTCGAGCTCCTCCCACCATTGTTGGAACCCTGAGTCGACGGCCCATTTCTCGTAGGCTGTCTTGCTCGGCCAGTATGCGAGGTGAGCAACGTTGTAGTAGCCCTTGTTGTCGTTGACGGACGCCCACTCGGCGAACTGCGGGCGGGCCACGGCGTCGACAGCTTTGGAGGTGGTGAACTTAGTCAACTGGGCGACGGCGGCGCCATCAGCGTTGGATTGAGAGGTGTATTGGGCACCGATAACAGCGAAGACGAGGTCTTTCGTGTCCTTGGGGAAGCTGGCGCTATAAGCTGGGAAAGGAGGTTGAAAGCCAGGTGGTGTCTTGGCAGCGATCTTTCGGGGGCACTGTTGGAGGTGCTCTGGGATTGCGGAGACAAGCATCTTGCGTAATACGGTTGATGGGATTGGTGACAAGGGGGGATAGAGAGTAGCCGGCCGAGGAGAGAGAGTCGGGGGACTATGCTTTTAAGCCACACCAAGGGGCTAGGAACCTGACTGATACCAAGAAGCGGAGGAACAAGGCCGCATCTTTGGAAGATGGTCTAGGGTCAAGTCGAAATGCCATGCTGAAATGCAAGTACAGGGATGCTTGACGAGAAGCAATCGGCAAAGGTCGTGTCGTTTCCCAAACGATCAAGTCCTTGGGATTGATGGGGTCTGTCCCTACAACCTTAGTTGCGACTCCGAATACCAACTTGGCGTAGCTTCGAACCGTCGTTGCATCATGGGACGAACCAGCATGTCGGAAGATCCGACTTGTTATCTTGACAATTACAAGCCATTTCTGCCTTATGTGCTGTCAACCCAATTCCGAACGACTTTATCTCATATGGCTAACAGTTCAATGTCTCGCGCCCACGAGGGCGGTAGTGAGCTAAGAAAGAGACGGTTGACTTCCCCGGGCACTGACTTTACGCTAAGTAGATGGCGCACCGAGACGTCTCCGCACCAGGAAATAACAAAGAGACATTCTCCAGCGGGACGGCAAACGCATGATAGATATGACTGCGCGTCACGTCTTGGTCAGCACTCGGAAAGGTCCCTCTCGCAGGGGTCGCAAACTATTGACATCCCGACTAACGTCCCACCAAACGCGCAAACTCCACCCGCGGTGGGCAGAAGGACGGCCTCCCCAGGCTTCCCAGCCAGCTGCAGCCTCAGAATTGCAAAGACAGGCGCAGATCTATATTGCGAGCCCCGACACTAGTCCCTCAAAGACGACTTTCACGATTCAGGTACGGATGGGGATTCTGTTCGAAAGGCCCCTTTTTCCCACGGCAAGATGTCGGAATGCAACTCAAAGTGTCAACATGGCACCATAAGGTCCTAGTTTGACCCCCTGGTTCTATAGTGTTTTTTGCTTCCAAGATCCCAGAACTGGCAGACACGAGCCTAGGGCATGACTGGATTTGGACAGCGGGAATTTGTATAATTCATGCCTGGCCCCAGCAGAAGCTTTTTGCTTCCTGGGTTGAAAAGGGAGGCCACATCACATTGCAGAGGTGAGGGGCGAAACTTGCGGACGAGAGACCACCGCAACTGCATAGCCCGCATCTTCCCACCCGGGCACTCCCCCACCACCAGCACCAGCTCACGCCATGGCGACGCCGTTCCAAGTCGAGGCTTGGACCGAGTATGCCATCGGCTTGCTCGTGCTCCTGATACGCATAGTCTATCGGACGAGACTCGTTGGGACCAATTGGGAAGGAGATGATTATTTCGCGGCCATCGCGGTGTTGTTCTGGACGGTAAGGGTGTCCTCACCTAGCGCACGACCGCTTTGAAGATAGAGTTTGGAGCTGACCCTTGGGCTTCTAGGGCGAGTTGTTGATGCTTGAGATGATCGGTGAGGATTCCATTGACAGCCCCCTTACTTCGCGAGATCGGATCAAAATCTAACTTTCTTTCTCTCCGCTTCAGGTCGATACGGTAGCATCACCGGAATGAGCGATGCGATTGCCCTGACGCTTTCGGACCAACAAAAACAGTCAATCGTCATTGGGAGCAAATGCCTTCTGGCAGGATGGGTTCTCTACGTTACCCTGATCTGGTGCTTGAAAGCGTGCATGCTTTTCCTCTACATGAGGCTAACGTACGACCCACCAACTAGTCATCCTCCCTGTGGAAGGTTAGCTGACGTTTTGGTTGATGGGAAATAGACTTAATTTGCAGCAGCAAAAGATGGTGAAGATAACTGCCGGAGCGTGTGTTCTATGCTACGTCGCCACAGTCCTTGTCATCATGACAAAGTGCATGCCAGTACACAGGAACTGGCAGATTTATCCATACCCTGGCGGTTCGTTTCTCTCCTCGCTCGATTTTGATGGACCTCAAGTTGACTTGCGGATACAGATGCCTGTGCGCTGAACATTCCTAACTACATTGCACTGGCAATTACCAACGTCACGTATGTCTTTCCGAAGGACACCTCGCAGCCCTATGACTTGTGGAAAATGTTCTGACACGGAGATAGGACCGACATGATGATTCTTTACATCCCAATACCATTGCTATGGTCTGTTCAGATGCCGACGGCCAAGTAAGTCAACTCCATGGCAAACTTAGTTTATTTTAGTTACTAATGATGGTCAGGAAAATTATTTGTTCTTTGTGGCTCTGCACAGGCGTCTTCATCATCATTGCTACGCTTCTCAGGTGCATCCTCTGCCTGCAGGATGCAAAGTCGATCAACCTAGGCACCATTTGGTCCATCAGAGAAACAGTAAGGCCCACGTTCCTCAATCCAATTGACCGTGCCCCCCCCCCCTCTCCCTTTCTGATCCGGCAAACTCTGATTCCGTTCGTTCATCCCCACTGACCCCGGCTTTTTCCCACCTCGACAGTTCGTCGCAATCCTAGCCGTCAACGCCCCGGTCCTGGGTCCCTGGATCGCCAAAAACGCTTCGGCCGTGCGATCCCGCACGTCAAAGAACCGCTCCAAGACGGGCGGCCAGGAGTCGGCTAATCACATCGTCACGATTGGCGCGAAGAGCAGCAGTCATCGTCTCGATAAACTGACCAAGGATGGTCGCTCGGCGAATATGGGGTGGACCGAGATTGATAACAACAGCGAGGAGCGCATCATGAAGAGCCTACACGACGTATCGGTTTCGGCTAAGCGTTCGGACGAGGAGATTCGCAGTAATACGGGCAATATCCATGTCAAGACTACGTTTGAGATCTCGAGGATGGCGTAGGGCTTGGTTCGGCGAGAGAAAACACCACGATATCCATGTTAAATAATGTACAGTAAACGATTAGCTTGTGATTAGTGTACAAGCCCGCCTCAAAGGCGTTGGAACTTTGGTTCGTAATATGAAGAGGAACCTTGACACGTCATGGCCATGGATGTTTTTGGTGTTAGTGCGAGTCTGTGATCACATATGCGTTTTCTGGCCCTCTTCTTTAGAGCGATTGTTATCGCGTCTTGGTTTAGACCAATACTCTGGCGCCAACGCTTTTGTTCTAGCTGTGCGACCGGAACACTCCAGAATCCCACGAGTCGAGACATCCCAGGATCCGGCTTAGTGCCACTCGCTTTTGGTGCGCGGCCAAGTGATGGAACCACGTTTAACGGATGTCTCCCGTGCTAAAGGTCAATACCGGCCTGCGGGGTACTCAGGTCCGCCCAGATAGGTAAACAACAGTTACAACACCCATGGAGCTGAACCGATGAAGGTTCTCGGATTTCTTGGTACTCGGTAGATGGACAGGAGGTTGAAGAAAGCGGGACTGCGGAGGGATCCACTCCGCAGGTCCGCAACACACCTGATTGGACGGAACACAACGACACCTCGTCCTTGTATCCTGCAGGATAACATCGCGATCTCTTCCAAACCTTGGTCTTCGAATTCATGATGTGCTGTTCATGAGTAAGAATCCCGGCCACTTGATGTATCATATATGATAGTTACTAAGGCTGTGATAGTTGCTGCAACCTGCTGGAGTCCTGCCAGGTCTCGTCTCCGTCCGCCAGGCTTCGTGAATCGTGTAGCGCCTGAGATGACGAGCATGTACCCTTCTCATTCAGGGGCACTAGACATGGAGGTTGGTTAAAAGCCGTCTTGGAGAACGAAACCCTCTTTCTTTATTGTTGTGGTCAGAAAACCTTCCATTTTCCAATGTCAAGTCGAGCTGTTCATTTTCCCGTTCTTTGCTTAATTCGATTCGCGTTGCACAAGACATGAAATGAAGACTATTCCTGACCATTATGCCCGGACGCAAGAATCAGAATTTGGACCCTTTGGTGCTGGGGTGCTCTCGCCATGATTGCGGAACAGCATTACCCGGCCCTTCGGCAGATTGGCGCAACCTGGCGTAACAACATTGAACTAAGCCCGGAGCTCCACTCACCAGATCTTGGAAGACCCCAAATCACCCTCTATCAATAAGCAACCACATATGCTATGATTGCAAAGATGTCTTTGACAGATTCATTGGCCTAGCGAAATGACCCTTCCCTTCGACATTCGGTACAGTTCGCCCAGAGTCTCAGAAACACCAACACCTCGGTTCTCAGCCTTGATTAATGATTAACACATGCACGCCCAACGTGGCAACAGTTAGGATAGAGGCAATAAAAAGGCGCTGCTGGTCGGGCAGCGGCCCTTTCACCCCCTACTTCCACTTCAAAGGGACTCATGGGCTTCCTCCTTCCACATACACATTATGCGATTCAAAGCCAGGTCATTGAGCTTCGTGCCGCCCGGAAGGCCTAACCCCGCTGACATGTGAATCAACAATGACTGTCCAGGGCAAAACGTAAGGCCTGGAAACTGGCGCTTCAAAGACCGCGAGCCGAGTCCAAACCGCACTACAAACTACCGAAACAGCGAGATTCAATATCAGATAGCAAGAAGCAGGTGGCTGGATCTACACAGACACTGCCGTTGACTCACGACCGAGAAATATAGTCCTTTCTAGACCGAGCCGCAGGGGATGTCGAGAGGTTGCGGCTCCTAAGAGGCTACCGCCTGAAGGCTACCGTTACATTAACTGCCATACCACCGACTGCCACGATACTCCGTCCGTGGTAGCTTCATGTAAGACTTTAATTGGAGCGATTCTCGACGAATTCAGGTTCCGACAAGGCACTTTCTTTGACCAACAGGTAGCTTATGTATCGTCGATCGTGAGTGTCCTTAGGTACTTACATGAGTTTACGAGTTTTGTCTTCCAACATGCCTGGTTAGTCGGCCGAAGCGCCGCTCTACTACCATAAGGACAATTAGGGAGGCCTATCAATCTCACAATTATACCTCTAGCCAGTATAAATGTCGAGAGCAGATTTGTAGTAATTTATTCTTCCGCCGTGTGAAGGGCTAGTCTGCATATTCGAGCAATAGTGGCCGCTAGCAAGCCTACCTTATCTAACTAGTGTAGGTTATCAAAGTCCAATCTTCACCGAAGGTTGACAAATGTACACGTGTCGTGATTTAGTAAATATGTAACTTTAGGCCGCTCACTCATAGCTTAGGTACAATGACCACACACACATAAGTCCCTTCGGCAAAGTTGAGTCCACCACTCCAACTCGCAACAATAGATTGATAATAGCATCTCAATGCAATACCTTCTAAAAGTCTTTTGCCGCCTGGGCTACTGCACAAGACACAGCGTGAACCGTGAAGGGGAGGGACTGTAACGTCGCACGCAGACACCCTAGCTCTGAAGAAGCAGTAAGGCATGTTCATCGAGTCAGTGAGGAACGCCAACCGAGAGAGAACACCAAACGACGAGAAGACCCTTCCATTATGCATTATTGGTTGTATGAACACGAGGATGACGACTTGAATTTCTACCTCGACATGATTGTTCTCTAAAGGACAAAACTTCACAAGGTCTCGCAGGATGACTATTGATCAACAACCGGTAAACAACCTCGGTCCGATAACATATCGAAGTAATTAGAGTGGCTTCCGAGCAGACTCAATCCCAGATATTGTAATAATGGTCCAAGTCGTAGCAGAACTTCACGTGACTGTCATCTGAAGAGGCATGAAGCCAAATCTCTTTGCACAACAGACGATCGTCCATGGCCGGCCACCAGATGACTTTCCAAGCCAGAAGATCGATCCCTCTTTCTTTGATGGCTTCCGTACGCTGAGAGATGTCGACCTGTGGTTTTCTGCCCATTCTGCAAGATCCGGGAACAAATCTGCAGGGATGCTCCAAACACCAGCTTCCATTTCCAGTTCAGCCAGCTCAGCCTTCGATCTTCTTTCCAGATATTCCTTCATTCCGATGTTTATGTTGATCAGACGAATACCGGGGAGATGTTTGAAGACCTCAATCTTCGCGGAGTTGGTTGGCGTAAAGAAGTTGTAATCGCCAACATAGACTTTGCACATGTGCTCGAGAAGTGGCTTGAGCTCTGCGCTGGGATGCTTGAGAGCATCTCACGCACAGTCCTTGCAGATCTGGAACCTATCTTTCTTCGGGTTGATGAAGACGAAGTTTGGGATGTTTAACCCATCTGGCGCCAGTCGATACATGAAGCAGAATTTGCCGAGGACCATGGACCTTATCTTCCGATTGGTGTGGAGAAAGCTGCGTATACCAGAGAATCGGTGACGCTGTGTGGATTAAGGTCTGTGACAGATAGAAGGGTATCAGTCATGAGCATCTATCAAGTAGAGCGAGACGCCGAGAGCTATATCGTCGTCCCTATCTAGTCCGAAAGTGATTTCTGATGAATCAGTACTCTCAGCGTGGAGAACGTCATAATCCATAATGTTGAGGACAAGCTCGTAAGGCAGTTTTGCAGCTCCATCGAGTATAGGCAAAGTAGCTGCTGCCTCTGGTTCGATCTCTGCAGTGCTAAGCGCATAGACATTCTCATCGTTGGCGCTCATTTCGATGATGCCTGGTCACTGGCACGGTGACTGGTAATGGTCGTTGGCTTCTGGCGTTTGAAAAACTTGTCCTGGAATTGATGGTGGAAGTTAGTATTACACGAGAAGACAGACAAGGTATGCTCAGTTGTTCTCACGGTGCTTGAGAGAGGGCCAAATCACCAGATCTTTCGGCTACTGCCCTCGATCTGGTCAGGGAACCGGCGACCAAATATAAACCCAAGGTCTCGAGGCGATTTGATTGAGGACGAACTTGAGAGGGGAGAGAATAGCAGGAGGATATTTATCAGTTGATGTAGGTGGGTGAGATGTTTTCAAGAGCCCAAGGCGGCGGCACTCCTGTGGTCTAAAGTAAGCCTAAGCTAGGCAGGTACCAACCTAAGGCAAGGTAGGAGAGGTATGAACAGCACCTTCCTCCCCAATTTCCCTACCTATGTACCTCGGTCACATGACGGTTGAATCAGGTAACAAATTCTCAGGAAGGCGTCAACTTGTCGGGTGGGAAGGCACGACCAACGCGGTTAGAAAATGGAAGGCACCAATGGTCTCAGTGAAAACAGGCAGGAACAACCCAGACACACAGGAGCAAAAAGAAACGACTGGAAGGCACACCTTTGATGGATAGGTAGGAGCGCTCCTGTTCTGAAGCAGATATCCGGAGATGATTTGTTCAAACGGACCTCTTTTGTCGGGTGGCAGGGCGGTGAACTACTCTGCAGCTTCACCTGCGGCCTACCTATAGACTGTCTCACTTGATCTCTCACTCACCACGGTATATGGAGAATCTCAATCTTTCTTCATCTCACATTTTCCGCTACTTATACAAACGAACTTCTTCTTCTCTACGTTGCTCACTTTTTTCCAGGAGGAAAGATCGAGGCCCTTCCTCCCATCCACCCACAGGCCTATCGCCCGTTTGCTCCTATCAAAAAGGTAGATCCAGCAAGAAACCGGTGAGACGACCATTCTATTTACTCATCTCTGCTCTAGCTAATTCATATCTTGCCAGATTTTGTCAACTAAGCAGCGGATCTTCCTCGACAAACCGTCCCTCTCATACCCGTAATCATGCCTCACAACAACAAGCACAAGAAGGGCCGTCAAGGCACGCGGGCTCCTAAGACCCAGTCCCCCAAGACCATTTCCCTGTCAAAGGGTCTCCAGCCTACTCCTCCTGGCAAGACCGGACCGGCTTCTCTACCCATGGACATTGTCCTGCTCATTATCGACGCCCCCATCAACGATGCCGCCTCCAAGGAGGTGTGCTTGAACTGGGGCATCGCATACAAGCAAGACACTGCCTCGAAGCTCGTCCTTACCGATATGAACATGAGCGATTCGAACCACGTCAAAGCCATGAAGCGACGATTCTCTCGCATCCGAATGGCCTCCCAGCTGAACCAAAAGTCCCGCGCCCTCGTCCATCAGACGTACCGCCGCCTTCCCAGAGCCAGAATGAGCCCGGCCGGGATGGCTGTCGGCTTTCAAATGACGGCATGGGTCCTTCCCTTCATCGATGACTTCGTCGTGGCCTTTGTTTTCCTGGGCGGACATGTCGCGGTCCTCGAGCGTTACGCCGACTTCCTCGGCATGGCGCTCCACCTGCCTACTCCCGCGGGACTTCAGTTCATGGAATGCATCCAGAAGTTCAAAATCATGCTCCCCCAGGGCCTAGACAAGCACGTTCACGCTGCCATGGTGCTCCCCAACCTTAAGGAGCTTTACTTGGCCTTTGCGATGATCCCCATGTTTGGCCCGCCCCGTCCCCGTCCCGTCAAGCACGCCGGCATCGTCCCTCTTCGCCGTACCGATTACGGAGACTTGGCTGACTGGATGATCATGCACAAGAAGAACTACAGTAATCTCTGCAACATCTTCAAGAAGAAGGGCACTAAGGTGTACGCTTGGGACTGCGAGATTCGGAAGGCGGTCTTTGAGATACTTCTCACCGAGAAAGGTGTTCGCTTGCGCACCTTGAGTTCGCCCAATTGTCCTGCTGACTGCGAATGTCGTAAGATCGGCGAGTCTCAAACTTCTGCGGCTTCTACTTGAAATCGCCGCGGGAGTAACTCCGACGTCACATATGGGGTACTCAAATTTTGGTTGCGATTCAGACGGGTTAGCGTACACGGGTACTTTGGCTAGTAGGCAAAAGGATTTCCCCCCCCTTGTATTCAAAGAGCTGCGATAGGAGGCACGGAATGTTGTTGCAATGCGATGGTGGACATGGAGATAGCCCTCGCGGCTCTCCCTATCTTTTTAGATAATCCTCAATAATTCAAGCATCACACTGTCCGCCCTCTGAAGTAAGCTACTCATTTTTATTTCTTGCCCCGTGATAGAGTGCTATACAACTGCAGAGAACCCCCTCACGCTTCAGCAGCGGGAGCAGCGGGCGGAGCTGCAGGCGTCGCCGGCTGAGCTTCCGGAGCAGTAGCTGGAGGCTGGGCAGCCGGCTGTCCCTCGGCAGACGGCGGCGTCGCTTGCTGCTGGCCGTTACCCTTTCCCTTGCCTTGTCTCTGAGCGCCGCCAGGGCTGATGTTGATACCTGATGTGACTATCGTCAGTAAAGGTCAAACATAAAAGGTGAAACTGAGACGTCTTACCAGACTTGCCGCCGACGGATGTGCTGCCGTCGCTACCCTTTGTGATACCGAGATTGCCTCCGACTGGTGTCTACTGTTAGCCATCAAGAAAGATGTGGTGCCGTGTCGAGAGCTTACTGTTCTGAGCTTGGCCATCAGTACCGAGGGTGATGCCGGCATTGTCCTTGAACTGCTCAGATTCCTTCACTGCCTTCGGCTGTCCCTCAGCAGCTCCCTCGGCAGGCTTTGCTCCCTCCGCAGGCTTCGCTCCCTCAGCAGGTGCGGCTCCTCCAGCAGGTTTGGCTCCCTCGGCAGCATTCGCGGGCGGAGTCTCGCCAGCCGGCTTAGCCTCCCCGAGCCCGGCGCCGGCACCCTTTCGTTGAGCTTCCTTCGCGGCTTCATTGGCCTTTGCAGCCTCACCAGGGTTCGCTCCGAGTTCCTGCTCAGCCTTGGCAGCTTCACCTGGGTTGGCTCCAGGACCGCCCTCGCCCTTTTGCTTTCCACCACCGGCAGCAGCCCCAGCACCAGCACCAGCCTTTTGTCCCTCGCCACCAGCAGCTTTACCCGGCGCAGCGGCCCCCTCACCAGCATTAGCAGTGCCGTTGTTCTTCTTCTTGCCGTTCGCCGCGTTCAGGAAAGCGTCCAACGCGCTGTTGCCGGTTCCTCCGTTGTTGCCCTTGCCTCCAGTGGTCCCGACGTTGCCGCCGCCGAGGTTGATGCCGCCAATGGTCAGGCCGGCGTTGTTGTTGGCGGTCCTGTTACCGGCGACATTGGTGCCGGGCTGACCCGCCGTGGCCTGGCCGTTGCTGTTGCCTTTGCCTTTGCCACCTAGTTGAAGACCTCCGGCGCCGCCAATGCTGATGCCGCCGTTTTCGAAGCTGATTTGTCTCTTTTCGACTGTGGGCTTCTCGACTTCTTGCCTTACGAGGACTGCGGCGCGGCCGGCGACGCTACCCTATGGGAATGAGCCGTATCAGAGACCGTAATGGAAGAATTGGAATGGTTACCAAGACATGATCTGATCTCTTGGTTGTACCGAAGTGCTTGGACAGGATGGCTTACAGAGAACAACTTTGACTGCCCTTCTTGGCGATCACAGAGCCCAGTCTCGCCAAGCGCCAAGAGGGCAATGGCCACCATGGACGAGAAACGCATCTTTTATAAGACTAATCAAGGAAAGACAAGAAAGAGAAGTTTGATAAGTGTGAAGTTCGGGCTGCGCAGCAGCAAGGAATGTGATGAAATGAATTAAAAGAGTAAACCACGAAGCATCAAGCTTCAATTCTATTCAGACGGGAAAAGACGAGAAGAACGACAATAATCAAGAACCAAGTGACAGACGAGATGAAGTGATGAACAGTCTGGGGAAAAGAGGAAAAGAGGGAACCGGTCACTTACAGTCCCACACATCACCCAAAAGAGGAACGATAATAAGGGAACGACATATGGAATCGGATGTCGTCAGAAGTGCGTTTCCCCAGTGTCCGCAATACAAGAACATGCTTACTTTGGACTAGGCTAGCTAGTTCTACCGTCCCCGTGTTTGGCAGGGTGACGTGGACGTGAACCCGGCCCGTAGAACGTGGTATCGAGATTTGCCTTGAGCCGCATGAAGCTCTATTTACTAGTGCAACAGGGACTCGCCTTGGGTGCTCGGGCCCTACGAGAGGGGGATCTTTTTCCAAAACCTTCAACTTTAGGCGTATTGTACGCCGATCCAACTTGCCGGGTATGGAGGAAACCCTGCAACCGCAGTGGGAAGACAGAAAAGTAGGCAAGATCCAGGGGAGAGATGCTATTAAAACGCACGTCAAGTTGGAGGATGTGGCTAGAACCGTCGCCAAACACTAAGCCAGGCCGGCACGGCATGGCTGGCGCGCATGAGGTGGGATCGGTTTTGAGTGACATCGGACGGCGCCGCAAGTGGTACCGTCTCCACCATCTCGGCACGGCTTGGCGTCACGGAGCTGCGGCAGCGCGGGCTATTATTGGCGTCGCCGGGGTTGCTTGTTGTTTCTGTGTTTTGCAACTCTCGCAAGTTTCCGGACGTGCAGTCATGAGGCCTGAAAACACGTTTAGCGAGACCAAAATATTCTTGATTTTTCGATGGTATCTTTTTGTCATGGTTGTCATGAGACATTTAGACATTAAGAAGTAAAGCGCATACACACAAAGAGAAAAGGAAGACGCGATAAACTTGATGTGGGATGAGTTGAGGGCTTCAAGGGGAGGAGGGTACTGAAGTGATGTCGAACATCGACCTTCACTTCGTAATCTCCGTTCCATTTTTTCTTTTCTGCTGCCCAGAAATTATTACACCAAACCACCAACGTCCAAGAAAGTTTTTTGCCTCAAAGGAGACGACGCAAGCTGCAACAACCCCCGATTTTCCTCCCGGTTGCCCGTTTCCCGGTTTCGACCCCGAAATTCACGTCAAGGCCGTTTGTTAATTAGTCGTGGAGAGTCTTGTCAGTGTAAATTGTCATGTTAGGTCACACTAACACTTGCAAGCACCAGTCGGGGCCAGCTCCAAAGGCAGGTAGGTGGTACGGTAAATGGTAGTCACCTCCTCGTTGTGCTTGGCGCTGAAGGAGCCGGTCGGGTAGGGAGCGCCGGTGGCCTCGGGGTGGTGAGGGGGCTTGGTGAGAGTTACGGGGTGATGGTAGTCTGAGGCCCAGCCAATGGTGTCAGGACAAGTGCCATGGAAGACGGGGGCATCGGGAGTGGTGGCCGGGACGGCGGCGGTGGTCGTGATGAAGCTGCTCTGGGCCGCCGAGAAACCGCCCGTCGCCGTCGCGGTGGAGTTCTTGGAAAGGGTCTTGCTCACCGTGACAGTGACGGTGCTCGGCGGCGCGCAGGCGGAGGGCGAAGCCGGGGGCAGCGTGGTGGGATCGGTGCAGTCGGATCCGGTGACGGAGAACTTGGGCGTCTGCGCGTAGATCACGTAGACGTTGGTGCCGTTGATGGCGTTGCTGTTTGTTTGGATTTCGGGTCAGCCACATAACTCCCCCCTCACCCTGCACTTCAATCTTATTTGACCCCCTGTTCTCTTTCTTTCTGTTTTGGAGTGGTTCACTCCGCTTTTCACTTGAAATGACCGTTGCAGTGCATGACTCGTCAGTTTCTTACCCCTGCCCAGAACAGGCTAATCGGGGCACAGTTCAGGGGTAGAAATGGGAATTCGAGACCGCAAAGGGTCAAGAGTCAAGACAACTCGACAAAAGAGAAGGAAAAAGGTCGTAAGAGGCAGAGACAGAACGACAAACAAAAGAAAGAGAATGTCTCACAATTGGTAACCGTCAGAGTTGAGGGTGGAGCAGGGAACGTCGATGGAGGCAGAGCCGGCGGCGGTCTCGAGATCCTGGGCCAAGAGGACGTAGGAAGGAGGCCAGTTGACAAAGTTGACGAGGAAGACGCTGAAGGTCGACGGGTCCGTGTCGACCGTGTTCCACGACAGCTCGTAGCTCTTGCCCTTGGCGACGGTGGAGTTGGCCGAGGGGCTGGTGAACTCGATGGCGGAAACCAGAGGGGCCGCGAGGGCGAGGGCAACGGAGAAGTAACGCATTTTTGGTGGATTTTTTTTCGGATCCGGATAGTATTAAAAGAGTGACTGGGATCGGTGAGGGAGCAAGAGGGAAAACCTGAGAGTCCGGTGGAAGTTTAGGGGGGGCATCGCGGCCATTATGTGCTCTTTGGGAGGTCGAGGATTCGGGAAATTGCCCATAGGCATCAGCTGCGTCCGCGCCGCAAAAGGGGTGGAGTCAACCCCGGATCCTCTCGGCCGTGAAATCTCCATCGAACGACGCGGAGCCCAGGGCCCAAGGCAAAAGGCAAGTTCGTATTATCGTCCACGGCGCGCCTCGGCGTTGGCAAGCCGCCTACATGGAGAGTCAGAGATTCTTACTCGCAAGGGGGCTGTCCGGTGCCAGTTGGGCGGTTCACGATGGCGGGCATGTCACTCAAGACAGGACCGTGGCACGGATGGTACTTCTTGGAGCGGTTAGAGTGGCCTCACGTAGCGTCAGCCTAAGCGAGAGCATTTAAGCAGTTTGCGGCCCAGTTTAGCCCGGCTTTGCTGCTCGGCCTCTGGTGGCTGCTTGGTTCACCACTTTCTGGTGTGGTTTGTCTGTTGGTGTTTTGAGGGGAAAAGGGGGAATTGCTGGCCTAAAACGGACGGCTGACTGCTTCACAAGTTCATCTGTTCCCAGTCTATTGGGCGCCCGAGAAGTCGGCAGGGGCTTCGATTGGGCGTGTGCGGCGCTGCGCCAGGAACTCCTTTTCCTCACGACCAGTCCCTGTTCCTGAATGGTTCCTGACGGTTCCTGAATCCTACTCAATCTCGACCTTTAGGCGCCATCCCGCGATCCTCCAGGTAATTTCAGGTGTGTTCCTGCTTCCAATCGAGCCAACTTCCCAATTCATGGCGGCCGACTTTTTACCAGCTCCTTTGCGGCGTGGTGCGCGTGGCGTCAACCTAATTCAACAAAGCAAACGATTCAGTCTGACTCTCACCGTGATGCACTTGCACCGATCCGGCTGTTGTCCATGTCAGGACTTGCGAAAGGTCGTCCGCGCCGCAATCTCAACATCCTCTACGACAGCGGTTCGCTGCTTGTTTCCTTTCTCCCCCGGTTCGATTAACCAAAGTCCCCGCAGGAGCCGCAGGATGTGAAATTGGAAAGACGTATGATGGATGAGCCTACGGGCGAAAGCAGCAGGAGATTCGTTTGCCACTGGACGTGGAGTCTTGCCAATGTCGTTCGGATCGACTTCGTGAAAGGTGAAACAGAATTTCAATGACTTATTAACAACAGCAGATGGGAAATAGGGATCCAGCGCATTTTCCTTCTGCTGGATCTCATTTCCTCTCCAAGAGCGGGTTCAACGAGAAAACGCGTCTCAGACTGGAACAAACGCGAGGTGGGCTTTCGGAGCCTGCGGGCCCACGATCCGCTATAAGAAAAGGAGGGGTTGCCTTTGTTCCGCCTTGGCGAATGAGGCAAATTTTGGGGCATGGTGGGATTAACAAGCAAGACATGCGCCGCACAATGTGTCAATTGCAACATCAATCATGAGCGGCTCGCCGCTGTGTATACGATGGTGAGAGTCAGGTTGTGTCACCTACACACATCGACGGAGAAGTGCAGCGATTGTTGAGGTCTGCGCGCTCCCATCACACTTATTCGCTTCGTAGCGAGATTCGACGAGGTCGAAAGAACCAACCACAGAATGCTGATGCGCCAAGATCCACGGTCATCAACGCCTAAATAGTCTAAGTGAACTCGTGGCTGACTGCAGGAGACAAGCACATGACCCCTTCTCCCACCACGAACAAGCTTAAACTATTCTCGATAGCTAGAAGCCACCGTCTGCCAGACCATGCTGTTCCTACCAAGGGAAGTGGGAAACGCTCGTGCATCCTTTCTTCTTGCACCCAGTCATTTCGTCTGAAAAATTGGTCGGCACGGGTAAAGAGATGATCTCATCTGTTCAGACGATGATGGGGAGCTTGGCTATCCTCATTGTCTGTTGACTCTGTTTGACCTCGGCCGGTGGGATGCGCATCAACTCCGACTCCCGACTCGCGAAGACCATCACCAGCCTAGTATGTTGTGTAATTCAACGACATACATATGTCTTCCTTCATACCTCTCAGAGACATCCCGTAATGTAGTTTGCTTTTAGTTTCAATATGCAATGACCAGAGAGAAAAGGTGTCCATGTATCTCTATGACCGATGTGGTGGGACAGTCCATACAAACCTCCTTTCATGCATTCAAGTCGTCGTTGCACTACTCCAATCGGGCGGGAGCATTCCAAACTCAGTAGCTATGATGATGATTGACAAAATTAGATGACCCGATTGGCAAAAGTGCAAAAGATTACTCCTCGACGGGGAATTGAACCCCGGTCCCCTGCGAATCGTTGAATCCTCAATGACAAGCAGATATCCTCACCACTAGACTATCGGGGATTGGTGGATGTTGACATCCAGTGATAGTTGCTTGGTTGGGAGCGGATCCTGCTAGCTACCCTAAGTAGAGCCACTTGTGGTCCGTGCGGTATGAGCAAGCGTTCTCACTTACGCCCTAGCCTATGCTCGCACAGATGCAACGTTCGGAGTGACATATACGACTTTTGTCTTGGAATTCAAATATTCTGGCTGCGTACGAACTGAACTCTTGAGTTTTCTAATTGCATATTGTTTTGGTGGTAGCCGATGCAGGTTTCCATTGATCGAGAGGTGCCCACCTCGTCGAATACAAACCCACCCCCTGTCATAAGTACACTGTGTTTCATGAATGAGTAATTCAGAGCAGTGGCTTTGTTTCCAGACATCTGAAATTGACGCCGTAGCCTTTATCATAAACCTTGATGTTATGATTAGTCTTTGCTCAACACTATCAGGCGGCCTCAGCTTTCAATGCCGCGCCTTGGAGGTAGTTATTCAACTCAGGCAGACTACGTTCAAAGGTGAAGGTTACTCAAACCGCAGTCCGAACTTGGTGCACAGCCACATGCCGAAATATCGTTGGGGGAAATTAGGTGCCCCATGCTGTGCATAGACAGTCTTCTTGGGCTTCACTGCTTTTGAGCAGACTTGGAGTTATCTTCTATAACTAATTTCCTGACATGGATCTAGAACGGTGACTGTAGCGCAGTCACTTCTCCTCGTTTTACAGATACTGAAGCCAGTGGGGAGTTCGTTGGGCGTGGCTCAGATGTCTTGTCTCGCAGTGTCAGAACTCAAGGCCTAGCCCTCTTGGTCCTAATCACTCTTCAGGAGCTTCCTCGGGAGTTTCCTCAGTCAGCGGCTTGCGAGCGTAGACAACGTGGCTAAGAGTGTCAGCATTAGATCAGGTAGAGACACAGGTGCATGAGAAAGTCATCAAGGAAGACTTACACCCTCCAGTAGGCGTGATACTCCTTCTTCTTGAGATCATTGCGGAGCTCGGCGCAGAAGGCATAGACTTCCTCCTTCGTCCAATCCATTACCCGCGTCAGCAAGCCCATAGAAAGTGCTTCGATACCCAAGTCGAGGTTGACGAATTGCCACTGGCCGATCTCTTTAAGGACCTCGTCCTTGGGCCACGAGTTGAGAGGCCATACGTATTGCTTGTTGACAATGTCGACAAACCCAGCCTCTTCGATGGCGCTCGTATACTTGGAAGGGCTCTCGATGGAACGACCACAGCGTTCACCTGCTTCGGCGAGAAGATCATGCCAGCGAGCGAGAGCCGAATCCTTGGGGACAGTGCCGTCGTCGCAGCCCATGGGGAGCACGAAACCTCCTGCCTCGAACCATCCGCCAGGCTCAAGAGCTCTATTCAAGACGTTAGTTTGTGATGCACTCGATTCACAACTGGGTTTAGCTAGTCTCCTTTACTTGTAAATCTTCTTGATGATCTTCGGTGGATCTGCGAATGAGCCCTCCATGGTACGGCAGTGAATGTAGTCGAACGGCTCAGTCCAGGTCCACTCTTTCTCAAGATCATCGATTTCGAATATACAATTCGGGGGTGTCCTATTAGCATCTGATTAGTCTAGTGACGGAACAAGTCGAAGTACAGCTTGACTTCACCATTCAGGCTGAATAGGACTCAGGTCAACACCAATAACCTGGTGGTACATCAGCACGATAATCAAAGATTCCAGCAAAGACCGAAGAGCTTCTCCATAAGAGTTGCACACATACCTCGGTAGATGGGAATTCGTCCGCTAGGTATCTCCATCAGCAAATGAACGGTTGTCAGCCGCTGGAAAAGAAACCACCAACCATATTCACAAGCCCAGATACCAGTACCTGTGCCCATGTCCAAGACACGCTTCGCGGCCTTATGAGCAGGGGCAGTTGCGAGTGCTCCTCCTAAGGTGAGTTTCCAAATATGATGTTGGAAATCTGCATCGATCAGCATCGTGGCTAAGTAGGAGACTTGGCAGCGCATAGATCAGAATAAGCATGTGTGCTTGGAATTACCTAAACGATCATTTTCTTTCTGATTCATTTGTCAGTGGACTTGTTCTGCTGTCGCAGTGTTGCGAAAGTACGCCAGACTGGCCACTTTGAAAACACACACCTCATCATTCGGGTATTGGTATTCTGACAAGAGCACAGTCAATACGCTGATATATTTTGAGCTCATTGGTAAACTATACGTACTTCCGGAGCTCATGGAGTGATATGTGCGGCCGTTTTCAACCTCATGCTCCAAAATGCTTGATCTCAATGAAGCCACCGAGGAGTCTTCGTAGAGCTTTGAACGAATTGAAACACAATCAGTGAGGTTCGGGAAACTCAAATACTCCGACAAAGACCATAATGCCTAAACTCACATCACCTGTTGATATTCCATCATCCGCCTCAATTTCCTGCAATTGTTGTCAGCTAGGCGTGACATGAACCAAACAGACAGTCAGACAAGCTTACGGTGTGCGGAGGTTCGGTTTGCTGCATTCTTGCGGGATAGGAGTCGGTACTTGATACTTGACAGTCTACTCGCCTTGGGAATACACGTGCAACAAGTGAACTTTGATTTCTAGGGTAGATCAGTCAATAGTAGTAACCTAGACAAAAAGTCAAGACGAAAGGGCAGTTCAATCCGAGGCACAGGAGGTTGGAATTGAGTAGAAGAGGGGAAAGTGCGTTCTAGATATATCGCAGGCAGGAGTGGCATGTTCCAAGTTCCAACGTATTTCTAGTGCCAGACTTGTTGTTTATCGGCGGAGTAAAGTCCCATCAATCGGTTCTCGAACAGGCATCTGAACTTGCGCCTGCACCAACAGCGCAGGCTTGCTCGACAGATACTGGCTTGTCATTGGCTCATAACTCCGCGCCCAGAGTTGAAGCGGAGCGTTATGCGGTCCCCGGCTCAAGCAATACGTGTGATAGGTTACGTTTGCGGGCGTGAGGTGATAACCCCGTACGGGACGGCCGGGCTTAGTTACCCTGCAGCCGGGAAAAGGCTCACACTCTCCATGTGACAAACAATTGGGAGAAGTCGGCCAGGAGCCACTCTGAACCTCGGGCCTTTGTCCATGTATGGTACCATTCTGCAGCTTTCCACCATTACGCCACGTTTCTCGGCGCTGAAGCCAGTCTGGTTGGAAAAACTCAGTTGCTGGGGGCGGCTAAGCAAGTGTGTGATTATTGGTGTCGCTTGTTTACCCAAGAAACCTAGACAGCCACTCGGGACGACACGAAGTTGTGTTTTAGGTCCAGTGCTACACATACATTGATATTCCATAAAATCGTTGATGCTTATCTTTGCGGTGGCACTGATGATTCATTGGCAGTCGCCCTTTCAAGTCCCATGCCTCAGACTCCAAGCCAGATCTACATTCTGCAGCAGAGAAGTTGTGGTAGCAATGCAAGCCCGACTAATCTCACCCAGCGCTGTGAGAAACAAACATGGCGGCGCATGATTCAATGTGAGCAAACACCTATCGCTTACCAGCCTGCCGTGTCAACGGCCAACCAAGAACCCCGATCGATGAAGCCAACATCATCGATCCAGTGTACAAGATCAACGGCGCAAACCGACTGAGGCCGTACCCACGTGTCAAAGGTCCCATCACCAGCGATGCAGAGATTGGGCCCGTCAGAATATTGCCGACACCTTTACCAAAGGCCATGAAACTGTACACGTGCCCCGGGTCTTCTGAGAGGGCCGATCCGAACTTGTTCCATAGACAAGGAAACCCGCCCGTCGCCAGTCCGAACACCACTGAGAAGGAAAGTAAAGGTGCAAGGGACGAGGCAAAGCCCCAGATGGCAAAGGTAGCAATCGCAGCAACAAATGAGGAGGCGAAGACGAGAACGAGCACGTTGTTGACGCGGTCTGTGATGTAGCCGAGGGCCAGCTGACCGAAGATCGTGGCTAGATTGTTCGCCGCTAGAATCAGCGCACCCATCGTCCCCGAGAAGCCCAACGATGTTGCGTATGTCGGTAGATAGAGCGCGGGGATGTAGTGTCCGAGAGCTTCGAGGAAGTTGGTAATGGCAAAGCAATAGAACAGTGGCCTTTTGAAGAATTTGAAATCGCCTTTCTTTAGCGTGCCCCGCCTTGAGGCAGGAAGCCGTGCTTTGATGAAAGGGATCATGGGAAGCAAGGTGACAAATTGTGCCACAGCCATGGCGCGTAACGTTGTCTGATAACCATATTTTGCAAGGAGCGACTCGAGAAGGAACGGCAAGCCAACACCACTACACCCAGCACCGGTCGACATGATTCCGTATGCAAGACCTCTGCGCTCGATAAACCACTCATTGAGCATCCGAAGAAGTGGATAGTTGACGAATACAAAGGCAAAACCGTAGAGGAACCCCTGGGTTGCGATGAGTGCAGGCACTGAAGTCGAAAAAGAGGCGGCCAGAAGGGATAAGGCGCATCCCGACCAGCCAATGATGATCATGTATCGTTGCCATGCCTGGAATCGTGCTGCCAAGGGCGTTGCGAGTGGTCCACCGAGGTAGTAGACACTGGTGGTAACGGTTCCAATGACGGCAATATTTGGATTATGTTTGAGGGCAGGGTGTTTTGAGTAGTAGTCTTGAAAGACGCCATGTGACAGCGGGAAGCCTAGATACCCGTGTAAGTATTCAAGATGAAGCTTCTGAAGTTTCGACCTGCGACGGACATACCCCAGAGAACGGCTTCAGCAACAAACGACGCAAGTATGAAGAGCCAAGCAGACAACCCTTTGTCTACAGCGAGGCTAGGCCGACTCGAGGCTTCAACATGGGTTTCCATCTCCCCACGGCGGACGGTCTCAAGGCTCACGGTCTCGGAGTGAACAGACATTTCGTGGGTAGACTCTGAGAGCATGCAAAGATCTGGAACTATAGGAGAGAGAATACCGTCTTGCTTCAGATGATATTCCAGTCAGCTCATATACGGCTTTCCAACTGCTCAACTGCTCAATCAATGTGTTTGCTACATGCTGGCGGTTGGCTTGTGCTCATATCGGAGTATCATACCACTGGTCTGATGCAGGGTAAAGGCTAAATCGGCCTGCACTATGCACGCAGACCAAAGAGGTTCCTTGTAGTCAACGAGATATTTGCGCGGTTTTCCTGCTGCTGTGGAAAAAGGCGATCACTTGCTTGCGCGATATGGTTGCCTCACCGGGCACTTACGTATCTAGACCTAGGTAGATCTGGCTCGCACTTGGCGGATCCAATCAGGACCTCGCGGACCCTTTCACAGCTTATCAGTGATAGCTTTTGGAGCGGATTAACATATCATACCTCAAAATTTTGAATTCATTGCCACTGAAGATATGTGTAACGTATTCCGTTAACGCCACTCAGCTTCCATCTGGACCAGTGAACATTGGCCCCGTGGAGTCATGGACTGGCATCCATGTAATGCTATATTGTTCCTCACGAAGCAAAGAAGGTCCATATGAGGTTAATAGACTTCCGTTTAGTTCAGATGACGTCGAAAGACCAACCCGCCTTCTAGTAGCAATAAACTCTTGGATGTGTGCGTGCGAGCGCTCATTACTAGCACACATAACGTTCAATGCTTCTACGATCGCTTCGAGATTGGGAATTGGAATCAGTTACTCAGAGCTCGATACTGACGAATTCAGTTCATTCATCGTGAGCTGGCCCCTTGGTTTGCTTTGCTTTGTTTCAGTACTAGTCTATACTGCGTGCCGATTAGCGGCCGTGAGGTTCGAAGAGCACCCTATCAGATCATTCACTTCAACCCCTCCCAGCTTGTTATTATTGATTCTCATTTGTTCGACTCTGAACCTTCCAGGCCTATATTAGATGGTTCGATATCATCCAAGGGGATACTGTGCAAAAACCTTCATTTTTTCCTCCTGCCATTGGATTTGGCAAGCACATTTAGCCTTGTCCTACTCACCTAGCCAGTTTTGGCAAACCCAGCCGAGATACTGCATGCTGCAGCTAGTCTAGCCAGTTGTTGAAGGCGACGTCTTTGGCCTTGATCTGCTTAAGTAATGCCCATGCAACCCCATGCATTCCAGCTGATTCGAAGCTGAGCTCCTGGTTTTTCACGAAGTTTCACTGCCTACCTACTACGATCGCATGAGGACTGAGCAATTCACTACGAGATTACCATGTCAGGAGAAGATCCACCTGCCTACTCACCACCGTCCTATGCATCGACAATTTATACTCCTCTGGCGCAGTCCGACGTCGTTCGGGTGTTGATCCTCAACCCCGCCATTACTCACGATGCCGAAATTCAGTGCGAGCTATTGTCGATCGAAATATCTACTTGCCAGGAGCTCGAGCAGTCGTACGTAGCGTTGTCGTATGTCTGGGGGGATCAAAGCGATCCTCAGCTAGTATATGTCAATAACCACGAGGTCTATATTGGAAGAAACCTTTCCGAAGCACTCCGTCATCTTCGTCGTCGAGATTGTCCGATACGGCTCTGGGCAGACGCGCTGTGTATCAACCAGAACGATGTTGCGGAGCGAAATCACCAAGTTCATCAAATGCGCAACATCTATTCTTCCGCTCTAGAGACAGTCATTTACCTCGGAGAAGATGATGGAAGCAATACCACATCCTCAGCTTGGAACTTTCTCGAAAGACAAAGCGAGTGGGCACTGAACGAAGACGGCAACGAAGACACCCAGCTGCCGTCGACTCTCGAGGAAGATCTTATTTACTTCAGAGGAGATGTAGCTGATGTTGAGCTCAGCGTCCTGAATAAAGCTTGGTTCTTGCGCGTTTGGGTTCTCCAGGAAGTCGTTGTATCGAAGAAAGTATCAATACAGTGTGGTCATCGACGAGTTCCATGGAACGACTTCTGCAAGACCCTCTTGCTGAATCCAAGATACCACGATCGCTATGGATACAGCATGCAAGCCATAGAAAGAGTCGATATTGTCCGCGATATGTTTCAAGCCCGCTGCGCCTACCAAGAGTCGCATGGTTTGGTCCACCTCCGACCTTCCTGGCACGCCAACGTCACCAACTATGGTGGTAGAAGCGCACACATCATCGATATGCTTGTCAGAGCTCGTCAGCTTGAAGCATCAGATCCCCGGGACAAAATATTTGCCCTCTTAGGGATTTCAACGAATGTGGATCTTGAAAATAGACTGATGGCTGTTGATTACAGCAAATCTCAAGCCGAGGTACAGACTAATTTGGCTCGCTACATCATGGAAGAACATAAGAGTCTAGACATACTGAGCTACGTCGATCATTCGATCACCGGTTTGTCTTCTTTACGTAGAGTTGTTCAAGCTGATGCGCTGCCTTCGTGGGTTCCTGACTGGGACGCAAGCCAGGTCGCTCGAGAGCAGCGGCTGATGGCCATGCATGCCGCCGCTGAACTCAACGAGGGCTCGCTCCCTCTGGACCCCGCTAGCCCCATCGTTCCAACAACTCTGAGTTACCTGAGTGAAGAGAAAGATGAAGAACGTGAAAGAAGACAAGATATAGCCTCCAAGAGCATGGCGTGG